CCCAAATACGTGTCGATTGGTTACAAATCTTTCGTGCATCTTCACCATGTTCATATCTTACTATTTATCTCACTTCTCATATTTTCAATCTCATATACATCTATACATAATGTTATTCTCATTAATCATTTATATTAACCATGACGGTTTCTTCCCTCATTTCATACAAAATATTGTCGCGTTTAAATTCGTTTATATTGTAACATTCATTTCATCATCCTAGACCAGTCCAATAATAAGACAGCTTTATATTATATTTTATATAGTTCTACAGTTCTTATATTGTAAAAGTCTCAACCATATTTCATTTCCAAGTTTTTTTAATCTAGCCATGGGTAAAAATAGGTCCCGAATCTTATAATATTGTTTACCTTCTTGTTCTCTCATTTCAAATGTCAATTTACTCATTTCTGCACATTCCATGCTTTTCTTAATTACTCCGTTTTGCGTTGGTGTTTTCTCATTTTTCCAATGTTTAGCAGACACAATTCTAGCTGCTGTTAAAACATTTATTTTATTTTATTTATTTATTTTATTAAATTTCTATACTGCCCTACTCCCGAAGGACTCAGGGCGGTGAACAGCCACAGAATAAAACACATAAATACAAAAATTTAAAATAGAATAAAAGCGAATTAAATAATTTGGCTGAACAAATTTAAAATACCCCATAATTTAAAAACAAAGTAAAATTTACATTTAAAAAGGGGAGAAGATTTAGGCCAGGCCAGCTTGATGAAATAAAGAAGTCTTAAGCGCGCGGCGGAAGGTGCGCAGATCCGGGATCCTCCGTATCTCCGGGGGGAGCTCGTTCCAGATCGTAGGTGCCCCCACAGAGAAGGCTCTGCCCCTAGGGGCCGCCAGTCGACATTGTTTGGCCGACGGCACCCGGAGGAGCCCCTCTCTATGGGAGCGTACTGGCCGGTGGGAGGCTATTGGTGGTAGCAGGCGGTCCCGTAGATAACCAGATCCTAAACCATGGAGCACTTTAAAGGTGATAACCAAAACCTTGAAGCGCACCCGGAAGACCACCGGGAGCCAGTGCAGCTCGCGCAGGAGAGGTGTTACATGGGAACTCCACGTCGCTCCCATAACCACCCACGCGGCCGCACTCTGCGCCAGTTGGAGCCCCTGAGTGCACCTCAAGGGGAGCCCCATGTAGAGAGCGTTACAATAGTCCAGACGAGAGGTGACGAGGGCATGAGTGACTGTGCGTAGGGAGGTCCCGATCAAGAAAGGGACGCAACTGGTGAATCAGGCGAACCTGATGAAAAATCCTCCCGGTCACGGCCGTCAAGTGCTCTTCTTAGGACAGCCATGAATCCAGGAGGACGCCCAAATTGCGAGCCCTCTCCGTGGGGGCCAATGATTCGCCCCCAATAGTCAGCGATGGCACCAGCTGACTATATCGGGACGTCGGAAACCACAGCCACTCGGTCTTGGATGGGTTGAGCCTGAGCCTGAACATTCACAATCAGATATCTCACTTCTCTATTATATATTTCAGGTACAATCCCCAGTAAAAAACAATCTCTGGCTTAAGATCTATGTGTTTTTTTGTCATTTTTTCCAACCATGTGTGGATTTTAATCCAGTATCTTTTAGCCTCTGCACAAGTCGACCACATATGGTAATATGAACTGAAAGCTTACTGTGGCTGGCAAAATGCCCAGAAGCAATTTGCAGGAAGCTGATTAAGATAAGCAAGACAAGACAGGAAGGTATGTGAGCGAAGTTGTTCCCTGCAAATTGCTTCAGTCGGTGTTCCTCCTTAAATAGGCTAAGGGAGTGGCCAATTAGCCCCAAGCCTTACTCTCGAGGAGACCTCCTCCCAAACAAACCATTAATTTTTTTCTGCCTCTTTTTTTTTTTTGAAACCCCATCGAGAGAGGTGGATGGTCAGCTCAGAGACTTGTAACACGTCACAGTAACAAGAGTTGGAAGGGACTTTGGAGGTCATCTAGTCCAGCCCCCTGCAGGAGACCTAGACTAGGGATTCGAACTGCCGAACTGCCGGCCTTTCGGATCGACAAGCTCGGCGTCTTCGCCCCTGAGCCACCTAGCCAGGGCTAACTTCCTGAACTGCTCGCTCTGCTCCAATTGCTAAACATTTTTATTTTATCTTATTTTATTTTATTTTATTTTATTTTATTTTATTTTATTTTATTATTTTATTTTATTTTATTTTATTTTATTTTATTTTATTTTATTTTATTTTATTATTTTATTTTATTTATTTTATTATTTTATTGTATTTTATTATTTTATTTTATTTTATTTTATTTTTTATTTTATTTTATTTTATTTTATTATTTTATTTTATTTTATTTTATTTTATTTTCTTATTTTATTTTATTTTATTTTATTTTCTTTTATTTGTTTTATTTGTTTTATTTTATTTTATTTTATTTATTTGTTTTATTTTATTTGTTTTATTTTATTTTATTTTATTTTATTATTTTATTTTATTTTATTTTATTATTTTCTTTTCTTTTCATTTCTTTTCATTTCATTTCATCATTTCATTTCATTTCATTTCATTTCATTTCATTTCATTTCATTTTATTTTATTTTATTTTATTTTATTTTATTATTTTATTTTATTTTATTATTTTCTTTTCTTTTCATTTCATTTCATTTCATTTCATTTCATTTCATTTCATTTCATTTCATTTCATTTCATTTTATTTTATTTTATTTTATTTTATTTTATTTTATTTTATTTTATTTTATTTTATTTTATTTTATTTTATTTTATTTTGCAGAAAGGGACCATCTATCTGGTAGACTACAAGATCCTGGAGAACATCCCCGCTATTTTATTAAACAACCACCAGCAATATATCGCTGCCCCTCTTTGTCTGCTCCACCAGAAACCCAGCGGAGAAGTTCTCCCCCTGGCTATCCAGGTAAGTCAAAGGGCCAATCAGGTGAAGGGATCCTTGGAAGGGCCTCCCTCATTGGCTTCTCCCGCCAATAGCAATAGCGATAGCCCTTAGACTTATATCCTGCTTCACAGGGCTTTTAAAGCCCTCTCTAAGCGGTTTATAGAGTCAGCCTCTTGCCCCCCCCAACAATCTGGGTCCTCATTTTACCCACCTCGGAAGGAAGGACGGAAGGCTGAGTCGACCTTGAGCCGGTCAGGATTGAACTCCTAGCTGTGGACAGAGTTAGCCTGCAATACTGCGTTATAACAAATGTGGCACCCATGGCTTCCTTTCTTCCTTATTTTCCTTCCTTCCCTTCTTCCTTCTTTCCTTTCTTCCCCTTCTTTTCCTTCTTCCTTGTTTTCCTTCCTTCCTCCCGTTATTTTCCTTCCTTCCTTCCTTCCTTCCTTCCTTCCTTCCTTCCTTCCTTCCTTCCTTCCTTCCTTCCTTCCTTCCCTCCTCCCCAAGCAATAGTACTTAGTTAGCCTGCAATACTGCATTATAACCACTGTGCCACCATAGCTTCCTTCCTTTCTTGTTTTCCTTCCTTTCTTGTTTTCCTTCCGTCCTTCCTTCCTCCCTCTCTTCCTTCCTTCCTTCTTGCCTTTTTCTCTTCCTTCCCTCCCTCCCTCCCTCTCTTTTCCTTCCTTCCTTCCTTCTTGCCTTTTCTCTTCCTTCCCTCCCTCCCTCCCTCTCTTTTCCTTCCTTCCTTCCTTCTTGCCTTTTTCTCTTCCTTCCCTCCCTCCCTCCCTCTCTTTTCCTTCCTTCCTTCCTTCTTGCCTTTTTCTCTTCCTTCTCTTCCTTCCCTCCCTCGCTCCCTCTCTTTTCCTTCCTTCCTTCCTTCTTGCCTTTTTCTCTTCCTTCCCTCTCTCTCTCCCTCTCTTTTCCTTCCTTCCTTCCTTTCTTCTTGCCTTTTTCTCTTCCCTCCTTCCCTCTCTTTTCCTTCTTTCCTTCCTTCTTGCCTTTTCTCTTCCTTCCCTTCCTCCCTCCCTCTCTTTTCCTTCCTTCCTCCCTCCCTCCCTCCTTCCTTCCTTCCTTCCTTCCTTCCTTCCTTCCTTCCTTCCTTCCTTCCTTCTTCTTCTTGCCTTTTTCTCTTCCTTCCATTCCTCCTCATTTTACCAACCATGGAAGGACGGAAACCTGAGTCAACATTGAGCCTGGTGAGATTCGAACTGCCAAATTGCAGGCAGCCGGCAGTCAGCAGAAGCATCCTGCAGTGCTGCACTCTAACCATTGCACCACCGCGGCTCAATAGAGGTAGTCCTCGGCTTACGACCACAGCTGGGGTGGGTGTGTCAAAATTTCCACTGCTTAAGCGAGGTTGGCTGTTCAGCGAGCCGTGTCCAACTTCACAACTTTCTTTTGCAAAGGCTGTTAAGCAAATCACTATTGTTGTTAAATGCATCACACGGTTGTTAAGCGAATTTGGCTTCCCTCGTTGGTGGCTGGGAAGGTCAGAGTTGTGATTAGGGAACCCCGTCGTAAATACGTGCCAGGCCTTTGAATTCTGATCGTTTGACCCCGGGGATGCCGTGACGGTCGTAAGAACGAGGACCAATCCTTGAGTCACTCTTCTCAGCGGCATTGTAACGTGGAACGGTCGCTAAAGGGATGGGTGTAAGCCGAGGACTGTCGGCAACGGGCTTCTATCCGGCTGAGCTTTAGGGCACATTTTAGGATTTATTTATTTTTTTGGCCATGGTTGTTAAGTGAATCGCACAGTCATTAAGCAAATCTGGCTTCCCCTGTCGACTTTGCTTGTCGGAAGTTCGCAAAAGGATCCCGCGTGGGATCCTGCGATCATCATAAATACGAGTCGGTTGCCAAATACCGGAATTTTGATCACGTAACTGTAGGGAAGCTTTGGCGGCCGTAAGTGCGAGGACTGGTCATAAGTTTGAGGACCTGTCATAAATGCCCGGACCGGTCATAAGTGACCTTTTTAAGGGCCGTTATAACTTTGAACAATCGCTAAATGACTGGTTGGAAGTCAAGGACTCCCTGTTAAGTCGGATCGGTTCTCCGTTCAGGAGAAGAGGTCTTCTCCAAAGTTGGACGTGATGTCCACCCTTGACCATCAAGCGTCTCAACGCGCCCCTCTTCCTCCGTGTTTGACCTTAGCTCAGCCAGCAACCTGGTCCTCAAAGTCCCATCTTCCTGCCCACCGACGAGGAGTGGCTCTGGACCTTAGCCAAGACCTGGGTGCGAAACTCCGAGTTCCATACCCACGAGGTGATCGCCCACCTGCTCCACGGCCACCTGATGGCCGAGGTCTTCTCGGTGGCCACGCTGAGGAACCTCCCCATGTGTCACCCGTTGTACAAGGTGAGTTTCATTGCCCCCACCCACGTGGGACCCTGAATTGAGGGGGTGGTTTCGTTGGAAGGTGAGGAGGAGCAGGCCAAGTCATGCCAGGGCCTTTCAGGATTGGGGCGGCTTGTAGGCGGGGAGGAAGGGTGGGGCAGGATGACCAAGAGAGGCTTAGCATTCAAAAAAATAAAATAAAATAGATATGCTGTGTAACAGCCAGAAAACAAAAATGAATATGCTGTGTAAAATGGTTATGCTGTGTAACAGCCAAAACATAACTGAATATGCTGTGTAATGGCCAAAAATGTTGGAATTAAATATTTTAGGAGACCCTTATTCAAACATGGGAAGAAATTAGGCAACGATTTTATGTGAAAGTACCGAATCGGCTTTCAATTATGGAGGCCCTGACCGCCTCAAATAAAAGAGATATTTTGAAATTCGGCACGTATAAAGACATATTAGATCATTCATTTTTATCATTTATTAGATTTCTATACCGCCCTACTCCCGAAGGACTCAGGGCGGTGCACAGCCAAACAATAAAAACACATACAATACAAAATTTAAAAAATAGAATAAAATCAAAATAAATAATTTTGGCCCCGACAAATTTAAAACCCCAAACTTTTAAATCCAATTTAAAATTGAATATATAAATACTAAAAAATATTTAAAATTTTAAAAATCTTTTATAAAAGAGGGGAAAAATTAGGCCAGGCCGGCCTGGTGAAATAGTAAGGTCTTTAAGGCGCGGCGGAAGGTGCGCAGATCCGGGATCCTCCGTATGATAACGGTATCCTTAAATCACGGGAAACATTAGGAAATCAAGGCTTCAATTTAGACTGGTGGAGCTACCTACAGATAAGCTCAAGATATCAAAAAGATAGGGACCAACTGGGTAGAGAGGTGAAGTATAATAATTTGGACAAAATTATGTTGGGGATTGAAAAGAAAATGTTAGCGAAACTCTACAACTTTCTACTAGGCGAAGACAGGGCAGAAGGAATAGCCAGAAATCAATTAAATATTTGGGAAAAAAACATTGGTTATAGATTAAATTTCAATGACTGGGAGGAGGCCTGGAACAGAGACTACAATCTGACTAAATCAGCAACCTATAGGGAGAACCATTATAAAAATTTTCCATAGATGGTATCTAGACTTGCAAAAATATTTCCCAGTGCTTCAGCAACATGTTGGAAGTGTGGAAAGGAGGTTGGCACCTTCTATCATATGTGGTGGTCCTGTCCCGAGACAAAAAAGTTTTGGATAAAAATACGAAACTGGATACGAGAAATAGTGGAAGAAGAAATAGAATTATCCCCTGAAATCTTTTTATTAGGAATGATTGGAGATGGGTTTTCTAAAGATAAGATACATCTCATAATACATGTCATAACAGCAGGCAGGTTAATTTTTGCAAAATACTGGAAGGACAAACAAACCCCTCCAGAGGTAATAATAATAAACAAAATCTTAGAATGCGCAGAAATGGCAAAATTAACAAGTGATCTTAATGATGCGAACTCAAAATTCACTGCAGTATGGGAAAGGTGGTAGAAATGGTGGAATAATAGAATGAGATTGTAAGGTTACGTCTATTTTCAATAATGGTAGATTCGAATGTATTCGATATGTATATAATGTATATAACGTAAATATGTAATTACACGACACCTCAGATGTTAACAGAGATTTGATGTTTTTTAAAATTTTAAAACCAATAAAGTATATTTAAAAAATATATATATTTTATGAATGTTTAAAATAATTGTATGATTTATATTTTTAAAATATATCCATCGAAGCAAATGAAAGAGAAAAATGGAATGATAATTGGTTAATTTAAGATGTAAGTAACAGGTTTTTGGGGATAATGGCGTAGTTAAATAGACAGATTTGAGGGAAATACTTGAGTAAAATATTAAGCTGTGTTAATTGAACATTAAGATTTGTGAGTGATTTGTTTTAATTTGTGACCGGATCAAAAGCTTCATTTTGAAAAGATGTGTTTTATCTTTATGTTTTAAAAAATAATAAAAAACTTTTTAAAAAGAGAGAGAGAGAGAGAGGCTAAGCATTGAACATCAGAGACAGGTATATAAATGTACATTTATGATGATATGTGTGAATTTTGTAAAACGAAAAAGTAATTGAAAAGAAAGTAAAAAATCGGGATTGCTCGAATACCACTTCGGAAAATACTAAATTGAAAATGAATACAACAATAGAGAGAGAATGGAGAGGGATAGAGGAGAGGAGAGAGGAAGGAGAGAGAGAGAAAGAAGAAAGGGAAAAGGAGAGGACGAAAGAGAGGGGAAACAAAACTAGGAGAGAAGGTTAGAAGGGAGGTGTGGGGGAAAGGAAGGGGAAGGAGAGAAGGAGAAGGAGAGGAGGAAAGGAGATGGAGAGGGATAGAGGAGAGGAGAGAGGAAGGGGAGAAAGAGGGAAAGAAGAAAGGGAAAAGGAGAGGAAGAAAGAGAGGGGAAACAAGAGTAGGAGAGAAGGTTAGAAGAAGGGAGGTGTGGGGGAAAGGAAGGGAAAGTAGAGAAGGAGAAGGAGAGGAGGAAAGAAGAAAGTAGATGGAGAAGGATAGAGGAGAGAAGAGAGGAAGGGGAGAGAGAGGGAAAGAAGAAAGGAAAAAGGAGAGGACAAAAGAGAGGGGAAACAAGAGTAGGAGAGAAGGTTAGAAGAAGGGAGGTGTGGGGGAAAGGAAGGAGAAGGAGAGAAGGAGAAGGAGAGGAGGAAAGAAAGAAGTAGATGGAGAGGGATAGAGGAGAGAAGAAAGGAAGGGGAGAAAGAGGGAAAGAAGAAAGGGAAAAGGAGAGGACGAAAGAGAGGGAAAACAAGTGTAGGAGAGAAGGTTAGAAGGGAGGAAGAAGGGAGGTGTGGGGAGAAGGAAGGGGAAGGAGAGAAGGAGAAGGAGAGGAGGAAAGAAGAAAGTAGATGGAGAGGGATAGAGGAGAGAAGAGAGGAAGGGGAGAAAGAGGGAAAGAAGAAAGGAAAAAGGAGAGGATGAAAGAGAGGGAAAACAAGAGTAGGAGAGAAGGTTAGAAGAAGGGAGGTGTGGGGGAAAGGAAGGAGAAGGAGAGAAGGAGAAGGAGAGGAGGAAAGAAGAAAGTAGATGGAGAGGGATAGAGGAGAGAAGAGAGGAAGGGGAGAGAGAGGGAAAGAAGAAAGGGAAAAGGAGAGGATGAAAGAGAGGGAAAACAAGCGTAGGAGAGAAGGTTAGAAGAAGGGAGGTGTGGGGGAAAGGAAGGGAAAGTAGAGAAGGAGAAGGAGAGGAGGAAAGAAGAAAGTAGATGGAGAGGGATAGAGGAGAGAAGAAAGGAAGGGGAGAAAGAGGGAAAGAAGAAAGGGAAAAGGAGAGGACGAAAGAGAGGGAAAACAAGTGTAGGAGAGAAGGTTAGAAGGGAGGAAGAAGGGAGGTGTGGGGAGAAGGAAGGGGAAGGAGAGAAGGAGAAGGAGAGGAGGAAAGAAGAAAGTAGATGGAGAGGGATAGAGGAGAGAAGAGAGGAAGGGGAGAAAGAGGGAAAGAAGAAAGGAAAAAGGAGAGGATGAAAGAGAGGGAAAACAAGAGTAGGAGAGAAGGTTAGAAGGGAGGTGTGGGGTAAAGGAAGGGGAAGGAGAGGAGGAAAAGGAGAGGAGGAAAGAAGAAAGTAGAAGAGTAGATGGAAGAAGGGAGGGAAAGGAAAGAGAGGAGAGGGAGAAGAAGGATTGTTGTAAAACAAGGGAGATGAAGTGGTAGAAGAGCAACCCCGAATACAATTTAATTGTTTAGGATGAAGATTGTATTAGTATGAAACTTAAAAGATAATATGTGTGTTAGAGAAGAAGTTGTACATTTAAGGTATGTTCAAAAAAAAAAAGAGAGAGAGAGAGACAGAACTCAGGCAATGAGCAAGGCCCATCACCTCCTGATCCCTGATCATGGAGAGTGGAGAGAAGGCGAGAACAGCACACACTGTTCTCGTCCCGCTCCTCTTCACAAGGCACACCTGGGGACTGAGCCTTAAGGAGACGCTGTGGGGAGGGGCATTTGTCGGGAACGAACGCTGAATTCCTGGAGTGCCGAGTGACCATGTTTGAATTTTCCTGGATCCCTGGCATTTTTGCTGGATTTCTGGATTAATTGCCTTGTTTCTTTGCTTCCTGGACTCCTCGACTCGCCCTGCTGGATTTCTTACTTTGCCGCTGTGGCGCTCACCGCGTTGAGCTGGACTGTTTTGCAGCCAGAGACAGAAGAGAAGGCTCCTCCAATGGTGGTTTAGCTCGAGTAACCATGGTTTCATGCTTGTTTTCCTGCCCCAGCTCCTGATTCCTCACTTGCGGTACTCCATCCACATCAACGTGTTGGCCAGGACATTCCTGATCAGCCAAGGGGGCACCTTTGATAAGGTAAGAGGACATCCATGGGACCTCTGGGCCAAGCATGATGGGCTTTGATGGAGAAAAGTATCCGTTGATCCTGGGTGACCCATTGTTCGGCCCCAGCTACGGACCCCAAAGGACGCAGCACACACGAAGTCCGTACAAACCTTAGTTTACTAATTAAAGACTACTAATGAGCTTTCTTAGTAGTTGTTCGAACACGAGTACCGTTTAAATCAGTCTTTTCTGAACAAGGGCTGTTCATTTAACTTCATGAACAGCCGACAAGAATCCAAAGAATAATTAACTCAATTCTGAGGCACAGTATTTCAGATAACCGTCATCTTACTGCGGTTGGCAGAATGCCCAGAAGCAATTTGCAGGAAAACTGACAAGAGCCGAATCAAACGTTTTCTGGAATCAAGACGCGAAGGAATATGAACGAAGTTGTTTCCTGCAAATTGCTTCAGTCGCCGTCCTTCCTTAAATAGGTTAGGGGAGTGGCCAATTAGCCCCAAGCGTTACTCTCGAGGAGACCTCCTCCTGAGGAGCCACTCCTGCCTTTTGGCAGCTCTGTGTGCTCGTGCATCGAGAAGAGGCTCCTCCTCTTCTTCCTCTTCACTTATGGGAGTTTCTGGAGGCGCTGAAGGCCCGGGCTGAATCCCCGCCTCTGGCACCACATCTTCTCCAGCCTCCTCATTGTCTGACTCGAGCGCCAGCTGCACAGGCTGCTGGCGCAGCACCACACCAGCCTCCTCGCTGTCGGAATCAGCTACTAGCTGCACAGGCCATTGACGGGCCACAACACTGTAACAACCGGTTCGCCCGGAGCAGAAAATGTGAGCACATGCACGGCATCAAAAATACAGCGATTACATAGGACGTGATAGTGCAGGGGTGGGTCGATCGGGACTACCGGTTTGCCCGAAGCGGTCCGGACCGGCAGCAGCTCACCACTGCCCGGGATGCAGCTACCATCATAAATACGTGCCGTTCACTAAACATGTAAATTTTGATCACAGGGCCGTGCGGGCTCTTGTGACGGTCGTAATTGCGAGGAACGGTCCTAAGTCACTGTTTCTCAGCGCTGTTGGGCACGAACCAAATGGTCGTAAATTGAGAACTACCTGTGCTGTGTACGGATGCCCTACAGCGGAGGCGAAAGGGGGGAGGGGAGGAGAACGGGCAGTCTGTCGGCGGGAACGTCACCTCTGTCTTTTGACAGCCTCTCATCAAGGGGCAGTAGGTCAAAAAAGTCAAGATGGTGGGCACAACCAAGCCTCTCCCCCTCCCCCGCCCACTCCTTTTCTGCTTCCTTAATGGTGTAAAAATAGAGTAGAGTTTGGATTATATAGCCATGAGCAGTGGTGGGATTCAAACAATTTAACAACATGTTCTCTGCCCTACGTAGAGTAGAGTAGAGTAGAGTAGAGTAGAGTAGAGTAGAATAGAATAGAATAGAATAGAATAGAATAGAATAGAATAGAATAGAATAGAATAGAATAGAATGTTTTCCTTTTTTTCGTTTTGTTTTCTCCTACTCTCTAGAGTGGAGAGATTGCAGGGGAAGGGATTAGAAGAGAGTAAGCTAACCACAATGGGGATACATATTACATAAAATGTTAATATCACTTTATAAGGCCTTGGTAAGACCCCAGAGTTCCTCAGCCAGCCATGCCTGTTTTGTTTTGTTTTCTCCTACTCTCTAGAGTGGAGAGATTGCAGGGGAAGGGATTAGAAGAGAGTAAGCTAACCACAATGGGGATACATATTACGTAAAGTGTTAATATCACTTTATAAGGCCTTGGTAAGACCCCAGAATTCCTCAGCCAGCCATGCCTGTTTTGTTTTGTTTTCTCCTACCCATTAGAGTGGAGAGATTGCAGAGGAAAGGATTAGAAGAGAGTAAGCTAACCGCAATGGGGATACATATTACGTAAAGTGTTAATATCACTTTATAAGGCCTTGGTAAGACCCCAGAATTCCTCAGCCAGCCATGCCTGGTTTTTTTCCCCCCTCCTATCCTCTAGAGTGGAGAGATTGCAGAGGAAGGGATTAGAAGAGAGTAAGGGAACCACAACGGGGATACATATCACGTGAAGTGTTAATACTCTTTTATAATGCCTTGGTAAGACCACACTTGGAATACTGCGTCCAGTTTTGGTCTCCAAGATGCAAAAAAGATGTCGAGACTCTGGAAAGAGTGCAGAGAAGAGCAACAAAGATGATTAGGGGACTGGAGGCTAAAACATACGAAGAACGGTTGCAGGAATTGGGTATGTCTAGTTTAATAGAAAAAAAGGACTAGGAGTGAGCAGGGGCTGTACTAGTAGATCTCCAAGGTCCCTTGGGGTCAAATTATTCTCCAAAGCACCTGAAGGCAGGACAAGAAACAACGGATGGAAACTAATCAAGGAGAGAAGCAACCTGGAATGAAGGAGAAACTTCCTAAGAGGGAGGACAATTAAACAGTGGAACAGCTTGCCACCAGAAGTTGAGGGTGCTCCATCACTGGAGAAGAGACTGGACAGTCATTTGTCTGAAATGGTCTAGAGGACCTCCAAGCAAGGACCCTTCCAACTCTGTCATTCTGTGTTCTTTCCACAGGCCATTGCCACCGGACGCCAGGGATTAGCGGTGCTTCTCCAAAAAGCCACGGACGATCTGACTTACACCCAGCTCTGCCTTCCGGACGACATCGAAGCCCGGGGAGTGGGCGGCCTCCTCAACTATTACTACAGGGACGATGGCCTGAAGATCTGGGAAGCCATCAAGAGGTGAAGGAGCTGGGCCAGAGAGTTGGGTAGGGCCTCGCAAGCTTCTCCCGCTTGGTGTCCTCCTAAGAGGTCAGCCAGAACTGGGGGACAGGCTGCTTGGAAGGGGCGACAAAGGAGCCAGAATCGTCCACCGTCGTAATTTCAGCCTGATGAATGGAGGTTGCAAGGGTGGTGGATTCGAGTCTCATGCAAGAGGGAGAGGTTGGGAACCATGGGATATTGGCCCCGTAGCTACATCTGGAGGCTCCACCTCCCCAACTCCTGCGACCATAAACTTGGATAGGAGATAATCTTTGTAGCTCAGGGCTGAAATGAGGTTTCTGGTTGAAGCAGACCCAGCTTGTTCTGCCCCAGCTACGGACCCCAAAGAACGCAGCACACACAAAGTCCGTACAAACCTTAATTAACTAATTAAGGACTACTAACGAGCTTCCTTAGTAGTTGTTCGAACACAAGTACAATAAATCAGTCTTTTCTGAACAAGGGCTGTTCATTTAACTTCATGAACAGCCAACAAGAATCCGAAGAATAATAACTCAGTTCTGAGGCACAGTCTTTCAGATAACCGTCATCTTACTGTGGTTGGCAGAATGCCCAGAAGCAATTTGCAGGAAAACTGATAAGAGAGAAACAAGAGCCGAATCAAACGTAATCAAGACGCGAAGGAATTTGAACGAAGTTGTTCCCTGCAAATTGCCTCAGTCGTCATCCTTCCTTAAATAGGCTGGGGGAGTGGCCAATTAGCCCCAAGCCTTACTCTCGAGGAGACCTCCTCCTGAGGAGCCACTCCTGCCTTTTGGCAGCTCTGCGCACCCGTGCATCGAGAAGAGGCTCCTCCTCTTCGTCCTCTTCACTTAAGGGAGCTTCTGGAGGTTCTGAAGGCCCTGGATGAATCTCCGCCTCTGGCACCACATCTTCTCCAGCCTCCTCATTGTCCGACTCGAGTGCCAGCTGCACAGGTTGCTGGCGCAGCACCAAACCAGCCTCCTCGCTGTCGGAATCAGCTACCAACTGCACAGGCTGCTGACGGGCCACAACACAGCTAGGGAACATCATCAGTTCTAGAAGGGAGTAGGGTTTGTGGAGAGGAGGAGGAGGAAGGAGGGAGGAAGAGGAGGAGGAGGAGGAGGAGGACTGAGAGGTCCTTGGTGCTCTCTGAGCTTGGTGGTTTTCTTGCAGACGTTTCATGACCCAACTAAGGAACGTTATCAGTGCTAGAAGAGAGTGGGGTCTGCTCTCTTTTTACATATGAAACATCTGCAAGAGAACAACTGAGCTGAGAGAGCATAGTAGAGACCTCACACTACTCCCCTCCTCCTCCTTTTGCTTCTCCTCTTCTCCATAAACCCCACTCCCTTCTAGTACTGATGACGTTACCTAGTTTGGTCATGAGACATCTGCAAGGAAACCGCCAAGCTCAGAGAGCACCAAGGACCCCTCAGTCTTCCTCCACCTCCTCCTCCTCCTCCTGTCCACCAACCCCACTCCACTCCACTCCCCACTCCCAAACCATAAACTTTGTTGGCTTTATGTTGGGTGCGGAAAAAGGAGCTGGCGGCTAAGCCTCTTTTTCTGGGAGAGACATGTTTTCCTCCTCCCTCCCCGCAGCTTCGTCTCGGGCATCGTCGGACTCTACTACAAGAGCGATTCAGCTGTCCAGGGAGACGTCGAGCTGCAGGCTTGGCTGGCCGAGATCTTCGCCAAGGGGTTCCTCAGCAAAGAGACCTCAGGTACTTCATCCTTGAACGCAGGGAGGAACGTTCGGTTTTGTCCTTTCCTGGTGGTGTCATTTCCACATCCATTCCATTTCTTTTCTAGTGGTGTCAATTCCATTCCTTTCCATTCTTTCCTGGTGGTGTCAATTCCATTCCGTTCCATTCTTTCCTGGTGGTGTCAATTCCATTCTATTCCATTCCATTCTTTCCTGGTGGTATCAATTCCATTCCATTCCATTCCATTCCATTCTTTCCTGGTGGTGTCAATTCCATTCCGTTCCATTCTTTTCTGGTGGTGTCAATTCCATTCCGTTCCATTCTTTCCTGGTGGTATCAATTCCATTCCATTCCATTCCATTCTTTCCTGGTGGTGTCAATTCCATTCCATTCCATTCTTTCCTGGTGGTGTCAATTCCATTCCATTCCATTCTTTCCTGGTGGTGTCAATTCCATTCCATTCCTTTCTTTTCTGGTGGTGTCAATTCCGTTCCGTTCCATTCTTTTCTGGTTGTGTCAATTCCATTCCGTTCCATTCTTTCCTGGTGGTATCAATTCCATTCCATTCCATTCCATTCTTTCCTGGTGGTGTCAATTCCATTCCATTCCATTCTTTCCTGGTGGTGTCAATTCCATTCCATTCCATTCTTTCCTGGTGGTGTCAATTCCGTTCCATTCCATTCTTTCCTGGTGGTGTCAATTCCGTTCTGTTCCATTCCATTCTGTAGAATACAGGTAGCCCCCAACTTAACAACCATTTCTTTAGTGACCGTTCGGCGCTACGATGGCACTGAAAAAAAAGCATTTGAGTGAGTTGTGTGTGCACTCTTAAGATCTTTTTTCCCCACGGTTGTTAAGCAAAACACTGTGGCTATTAAAAGAATCAGTCAGTTGTTAAGTGAATCAGGCTTCTCCCAGTGACGTTGCTTGTCAAAAGCCTGCTGGGAAGGTCGCAAATGGAGATCACATGATCCGGGAGATCACATATCATTTAACGACCCCATAATCCTTTGCGGGGTGGAGTCTGTGCAACTGAATGGAGCTGAGTGCTTTACTGGCCGGATGCTGTTCTGATCGCCAGTGTGGAGTTTTGTTCGGCAGATATATTCTCATTGTGCCCAGAGAGAGAAATATCTGCCTCTACCTAGGATCGAACTCATAGCCTCCTAATTGTGAGGCGAGAGCTCCACCTCTAGGCCACTGCACCACTCCATCCCGGAGATCACATGATCATTGTCAATACGTGCCAGTTGTGCAACATCTGGATTTTGATCATGTAACTGTGAGGATTCCGCGAAGATCATAACGGTCATACGTCCCTTTTTTCAGTGCCGTCGTAACGACGAACGGTCACTAAACAAGTACAGGCAGTCCCCGACTTACGACCACAACGGAGCCCTAAATTTCTGTGGTTAAGTGAGACGTTGGTTACGTGGATTTCTTCTTACCCCATTTTATGACATTTCTCGCCACAGTCGTTAAGTGAATCACTGCAGCGGATAAGTTAGGAATACAGTTGTTAAATAAATCCGGCTTTCCCCAAGGTCACAAAAGCGGATCACGTGACGCACACCCCCGGGATGCTGCGACCGTCGTAAATATGAGTCGCTTGCCAAGCGTCCGAATTTGGATTGCGTGAGAATGGGGATGCTGCAACGGTCGTAGGTTCCTTTTTTCAGTGCCGTCATAACTTTGAACAGTCGCTAAACAAATTGTCGTAAATCGAGGATTACCTGTAGTCGTAAGTCAAGGAACACCTGCCCCAGTATTTCCTCTGTTTGTGCGTTCCTATCTTTCTTGTCGTCCTTTTCCAACGAGGCACTCTCGGATGTACGACCGTGCGACTCACTTAACGACCATTATAAAAACAGTCGAAAAACCAGATCCAATTCCAGAGTTATGACTGGAACGACTGGTGAGACGGGCTGAACCCCTCTGTCCCCCCCAGGAATCGCTGCTTGGCCTCCTTTCCCTCATCCGGGGGGGAATTTCAGCTAGACGTCTCCTCCCCTCTCTTCACAGGCATCCCCTCCTCCATCCAGTCCGTCCCAGAACTCATCAAGTACCTGACCATGGTCATCTTCACCTGCTCGGCTCACCATGCGGCGGTCAACGGCGGGCAGGTAGGTGAGGCCGGCCGGATCCTCGGCCGATGATGGCTTCTCCCATTGATCCATTGATTCATCCCTCCCTCCCTTCCATTTCCTTCCTTCCTCTCTCCCTCCCTCTCCTTCCTTCCTTCCCTCTCTCCCTTCTTATTCCCATTTCCTCCCTCCCTCCCTCCCCTCCCTCTCTTCCTTTCCTCTCTCCCTCCCTCCTTCCCTCCTTCCCTGCGTCCCTCATTCTCATTCCCATTTCCTCCCTCCCTCCCTCCCTCTCCTTCCTTTCCTCTTTCCCTTCTTATTCCCATCTCCTTCCTTCTCCCTCCCTCCCTCTCCTTCCTTCCTTCCTTCCCTTCCTTCCTCCCTCTGCTTCCTTCCTCCCTCCCTCCCTCTGCTTCCTCCCTCCCTCCCTTCCTTTCCTCTTTCCCTTCTTATTCCCATCTCCTTCCTTCTCCCTCCCTCCCTCTCCTTCCTTCCTTCCTTCCCTTCCTTCCTCCCTCTGCTTCCTTCTTTCCTCCCTCCCTTCCTTTCCTCTCTCCCTTCTTATTCCCATCTCCTTCCTTCTCCCTCCCTCCCTCTCCTTCCTTCCTTTCCTCTCTCCCTTCTTATTCCCATTTCCCCTCCCTCTTTTCCTTTCCTCTCTCTCTCCCTCTTTCCATCCTTCCCTGCGTCCCTCCTTCTCATTCCCATCTCCTTCTTCCCTTCTTCCCCTCCCTCCCTTTTTATTCCCATTTCCTCCCTCCCTCCCTCCTTCCCCTCTTCCCTGCGTCCCTCCTTCTCATTCCCATCTCCTTCCCTTGGTCTACAATGAGAGGCTTTAGCGGATTCTTCCGTTCTGTCTGACGCCCTTCCTGTCCTTTGAAGTTTGAGATGGGGGCTTTCATGCCCAACCTGCCTTCGTCCATGAGGAAGCCCCCTCCCCAGGCGAAGGCCCCCCTCAGGCTCCAGGACTTCCTGGACACCATCCCGGAAATGAACGTCACCAGCCAGGTGCTCTCCGTCCTCTGGGTGCTGCAGAACGAGATCCTCGACATGGTAAGGGTCTCCCTGCGTCCCCTCCCCTCCCCTCCCCTGGCCCTTTCTCTTTCTTTCTTTCTTTCTTTCTTTCTTTCTTTCTTTCTTTCTTTCTTTCTTTCTTTCTTTCTTTCTTCCTTCCTTCCTTCCTTCCTTCTTTCTTTTCTTCTTCCTTCCTTCTTGTCTTTCTGTCTGTCTGTCTATCTATCTATCTATCTATCTTTCTTTCTTTCTTTCTTTCTGTCTTTCTTTCTGTCTTTCTTCCTTCCTTCCTTCTTGTCTTTCTGTCTGTCTGTCTATCTGTCTTTCTTTCTTTCTTTCTTCCTTCCTTCCTTCCTTCTTTCTTTTCTTCTTCCTTCCTTCTTGTCTGTCTATCTATCTATCTTTCTTTCTTTCTCCCTTTCTTTTTTTCCTTCCTTCCTTCCATCCATTCTTTCTTCCTTCCTTCCTTCTTGTCTTTCTGTCTGTCTGTCTGTCTGTCTGTCTATCTATCTATCTATCTATCTATCTATCTATCTATCTATCTATCTATCTTTCTGTCTTTCTTTCTGTCTTTCTTCCTTCCTTCCTTCTTGTCTTTCTGTCTGTCTGTCTGTCTGTCTATCTATCTATCTATCTATCTATCTATCTATCTATCTATCTATCTTTCTGTCTTTCTTTCTGTCTTTCTTCCTTCCTTCCTTCTTGTCTTTCTGTCTGTCTGTCTGTCTGTCTTTCTTTCTTTCTTTCTTTCTTTCTTCCTTCCTTCCTTCCTTCCTTCCTTCCTTCTTTCTTTTCTTCTTCCTTCCTTCTTGTCTGTCTGTCTATCTATCTTTCTTTCTTTCTTTCTCCCTTTCTTTCTTTTTTCCTTCCTTCCTTCCATCCATTCTTTCTTCCTTCCTTCCTTCTTGTCTTTCTGTCTGTCTGTCTGTCTATCTATCTATCTATCTATCTATCTATCTATCTATCTATCTATCTATCTTTCTTTCTGTCTTTCTTCCTTCCTTCCTTCCTTCTCGTCTTTCTGTCTGTCTGTCTGTCTTTTTCTTTCTTCCTTCCTTTCTTTCTTTGTTTCTGTCTTCCTTCCTTCCTTCCTTCTTGTCTTTCTGTCTGTCTGTCTGTCTTTCTTTCTTTCTTCCTTCCTTCCTGTCTGTCTTTCTTTTTTCTTTCTTTCTTTCTTTCTTTCTGTCTGTCTGTCTCTTTCTATCTTTCTTTCTTCCTTCTTTCTTTTCTTCTTCCTTCCTTCTTGTCTTTCTGTTTGTCTATCTATCTATCTATCTATCTATCTATCTATCTATCTTTCTTTCTTTCTTCCTTCCTTTCTTTCTTTCTTTCCTTCCTTCCTTCCATTCTTTCTTCCTTCCATTCTTCCTTCCTTCCTTCCTTCCATTCTTCCTTCTTTCTTTTCTTCTTCCTTCCTTCCTTCTTGTCTGTCTATCTATCTATCTATCTTTCTTCCTTCCTTCCTTTCTTTCCTTCCTTCCATTCTTCCTTCCTTCCTTCCTTCTTGTCTTTCTGTCTGTCTATCTGTCTGTCTGTCTTTCTATCTATCTTTCTTTCTTTCTTTCTGTCTGTCTTTCTTTCTATCTTTCTTCCTTCCTTCCTGTCTGTCTCTTTTTTCTTTCTTTCTTTCTTTCTTTCTTTCTTTCTTTCTTTCTTTCTTTCTTTCTGTCTCTTTCCTCTCTCTCTTTTCTTATGTTCTTTCTTTCTTTTCCTTCCTTCCTACTTATTTTCTATCTTTCTCTTTCTTCCTTTTTCTCTTTCTTTTTCTCTTTACTTTTTTCTCCCTTTCTTGTTTTCTTTCCTGTTTCTTTTCTTTCGTTCATTTTCCTTCTATTTCTTTCTTTCTCTCTTTCCTTTCTCTCTCATTCTTTCTTTTTTCTTATGTTCTTTCTTTCTTTCTTTCCTGTTTTCTTTCATTCATTTTCCTTTTCCTTTTCTTTCTCTCTTTCTTTTTTCTTATGTTATTTCTTTTCTTCTCTTTCTTTCTTTTGCTTTCTATTTCTCCTTCCTTCCATCCTTCCCTCCTTTCTCTTCCTTCCTTCCTCCTCCCATTCTTTCCTCTCTCCCTCCTTTCTCTCTTCCTTCCTTCCTTCCTTTCTCTTTTCCTTCCTCTCCTCTTTCTTTCATTTTCTTTCTTTCTTTTCCTTCCTTCCTACTTACTTTCTTTCTTTCTCTTTCTTCCTTTTTCTCTTTCTTTTTCTCTTTACTTTTTTCTCCCTTTCTTGTTTTCTTTCCTGTTTCTTTTCTTTCGTTCATTTTCCTTCTATTTCTTTCTTTCTCTCTTTCCTTTCTCTCTCATTCTTTCTTTTTTCTTATGTTCTTTCTTTCTTTTCCTTCCTTCCTACTTACTTTCTTTCTTTCTCTTTCTTTCTTTTTCTCTTTCTTTCTTTACTTTTTTCTCCCTTTCTTGTTTTCTTTCCTGTTTCCTTTCTTCCGTTCATTTTCCTTCTATTTCTTTCTTTCTCCCTTTCCTCTCCTTCTCCTTCTTTCTTTTTTCTTATGTTCTTTCTTTCTTTCTTTCCTGTTTTCTTTCATTCCTTTTCCTTTTCCTTTTCTTTCTTTCTCTTTCCTCTCCCTTTCTTTTTTCTTATGTTATTTCTTTTCTTCTCTTTCTTTCTTTTGCTTTCTATTTCCCCTTCCTTCCATCCTTCCCTCCTTTCTCTTCCTTCCTTCCTCCTCCCATCCTTTCCTCTCTCCCTCCTTTCTCTCTTCCTTCCTTCCTTCCTTCCTCTCTCTTTTCCTTCCTCTCCTCTTTCTTTCTTGTTTTTTTTCCTCCCATTGTTTTCTTTTCATGGAGCTTTTAAAGTGCTTTTTACACTTTTTAAAGTGCTTTTAAAGAAGCCCTTTGTCCAGAAGGGTAGAGTCTCTTTCTTGAGCAGTGGGCTGGACTAGATGACCTTCGCGATCCCTTCCAAACCCCGTTTATTCTCTTCCCCTTCTGCAGAAACCGCTGGGCTGCTACGACGAGCAACTCTTTGTGGAGGAAGCTCCGAAGCGGCTCATCGGCGATTTCCAGGAACGTCTCAAGCGCATCACTGTGGCCATCGACAGCCGGAATAAGACCCTCACGCTGCCTTACACTTACCTCTATCCCCCCAACATAGAAAACAGCACGACAATCTAGGACGCTGGGTCGCTCAGCCTGCGCATGTTGCTAGTCCTCAACGAGGGTTCCCGCCCATTTTTTTTTTCTCCTTTCGAAAGCCGGGGGTAGGGACGGAGGATATGAAGAGCATCAGAGATGCACGAATTCCACCTCCAGGAATCCCTCCAGGCAACAGACAAGGCAAAGGAGAAACAATCGCGAAATGCAGTTGCGTCCGAGGTCATATCGTTGTACGGCTAGTCCTCGACTTGCGACCAAAACTGAGCCCGAAGTTTCTGTCGCTAAGCGAGACATTTTTTTAAAAAGTGAGTTTTGCCCCTACGTTAAGACCTTTCTTGCCAGGGTCGTTAAACGAATCGCTGCCGTTGATAAACTTAGCGGCCCGGTCGTTAAGCGAATCCGGCTTTCCCCTCAGAAGGTCGCAAAGAAGGGGAAAAATCGCGTGACCTTGGGACACCAGCGACGGTCACAAATATGAATGTCGATCCCACGGGGAGGCTGCGGAGGTCGTAACTGTGAAACACAGGACTTTGATCCGGGGCCGTTGTAACTTTGGACGGTCGTAAGTGGAGGACTAGCTGCGGATCCCTTCTGTGAGTTCAGGGGCCGCTGATTGAGCAATTCTGAGGTAACTAATTTGAGGACAAGAGGCCCTTTTGAAACCAAACATGTCAAAGGCGCCTGGTTTTTTCTTTTTTTTCCTCCGCTACCAAAATAAATCCTGTTTTACGCAACTTTCGAGTTTTCCTTTCGAAGAAATGCTGAATTTCAAGTCGTTTTTCTTTTTGTGTGTGTTGGCGCGTCTTTCCGGATGGTGACAAGAGTTCAGAAGGCCAAAACCCGACAAATTCCTTTGCAGTTGCCTTCTTTTCCAAACGGACTCCAAATCGAGCAAAAGTGTAGGGTTTTTTTTCCTCTCTCTCTCTCCGAAACGACCCACAATCGCATTACACAATCACGACACGGACACTTAAACTGACTTCAAGGGTTTTCTCTACATTATGCACTGCTTTAGACCAAACTTGGCCACTTTCAGAGGTGTGGACTTCAACTCCCAGAATCCCCCAGCCAGCTCTTTTTCCCCCCATTTTGCTGAAGTCAAGATATATGACGCTTACTGCATACCCACCATCTATGAAGAAAGTTATACTACATTAAAGTGGCCCAGGTTGGAGATCCCTGATTTAAGACTTGTGGACTTCAACTCCCAGAATTCCCCAGACAGCTCTTTCCTCCCCACTTTGCTGAAGTTAAGATATATTACGCTTACTGCATACCCACCATCTATTAAGAAAGTTATACTACATGGCTGGCTGGGGAATTCTGGGAGTTGAAGTCCACAAATCTTAAAATTGCCAAGGTTGGAGACTCCCTGATTTAAGACTTGTGGACTTCAACTCCCAGAATTCCCCAGCCAGCTCTTTCCCCCCACACTTTGCTGAAATTAAGATATATTACGCTTACTGCATACCCATCATCTATTAAGAAAGTTACCCTACGTGGCTGGCTGGGGAATTCTGGGAGTTGAAGTCCACAAATCTTAAAGTGGCCAAGCTTGGAGACTCCCTGATTTAAGACTTGTGGACTTCAACTCCCAGAATTCCCCAGCCAGCTCTTTTTTTCCCCACTTTGCTGAAGTCAAGATATATTACGCTTACTGCATACCCATCATCTATTAAGAAAGTTATACTACGTGGCTGGCTGGGGAATTCTGGGAGTTGAGTCTTAAAGTCCCCAACTTAGATATTCTCGCTGTTAGTCCTTTGAACCCTGCTGACATTTATTGCAATCAGGGAGCCTGTAGGGACTTACGACCACAATGGAGCCCAAAATTTCCGTTAAGTGAGACGTGTATGTGTTGTTTAGCCCCCATTTCTTGCCAAGGTTGTTGAGGGAATCACCGCAGCTGATACGTTGGTAGGAGGGTTTTTCAGTCACTTCCGGTTGATTTTGCTCATCCGAAGGTCGCCGAAGACGATCAGATGACCCTGGGACACGGCAACGGTCGTACGTGTGAGTCCGTCGCCAACATCTGAATTTGGATCACGCGAGCGCGGGAAGGCTGCAACGGACGTTAAATGTGAAAAACGGTCCTAGGTTCGTGAGCCACGGTGGCGCAGTGGTTAGAATGCAGTACTGCGGGCTACTTCTGCTGATTGCCGGCTGCCTGCAATTTGGCAGTTCGAATCTCACCAGGCTCCAAGTTGACTCAGCCTTCCGTCCTTCCTTCCGAGGTCGGTAAAATGAGGACCCAGATTGTTGAGGGGGCCAAGAGGCTGATTCTGTAAACCACTGAGAGCAGGCCGTAAAGCACTGTGAAGCGGCATATAAATTAAAAAGTGACTATTGCTAGGCCCTTTTTTCAGCGCCGTTGAAACTTTGAATGGTCACTAAATGGACGGTTGTAAGTCAAGGACTACCTGCATGCCGTTCGGCGGAGAGGCTTCGATCTCCGAGGCGCAGTCTCCATCTTGACTTTTGGGACCCTGATTGCGAATATGGGATCGTTGGATGGCATGTTAACCAAATATGCAGTTTCTCCTTCACTCCTGGTGCTGCATTCTTCTGCACGCATTTGTAACTCTGGCTTGTTTTCCTGCATGCATTTCTAACTCTGGCTTGTTTTCCTGCACGCATGTCTAATTCTGGCTTGTTTTCCTGCACGCATGTCTAATTCTGGCTTGTTTTCCTGCACGCATTTATAACTCTGACTTGTTTTCCTCCACACATTTATAATTCTGGCTTGTTTTCCTGCACGCATTTGTAACTCTGGCTTGTTTTCCTTCACGCATTTATAACTCTGGCTTGTTTTCCTATGTGCATTTCTAATTCTGGCTTGTTTTCTTATGTGCATTTATAACTCTGGCTTGTTTTCCTGCATGCATTTATAACTCTGACTTGTTTTCCAGCACACATTTATAACTCTGACTTGTTTTCCTGCACACAGTTCTAATTCTGGCTTGTTTTCCTGCACGCAGTTCTATTTTTTTTTTTTTATTGGATTTTAAACAATGATATAAAGACAATACAAAGAATATAAAGACATTACAAAGACAAACAAAATCCCACCACCTACCTACCCACACCACATTTTACATACATGTTTTGGTCATCATCAGAATATATATTATATTACTTTGTATGTTAATAAATAAATGGTATATTCTTGATTCAAGTAGTTTAAATTAAAAATAATCTTGCATCTTTTCTTTATTCATGCATTTCTAATTCTGGCTTGTTTTCTTGCAGACATTTCTAGTTCTGGCTTGTTTTCCTGCACGCATTTCTAATTTTGGCTTGTTCTCCTGCGAAGCAGAGCAACAGCTGCCTCCTTTTCCAAGTGCCCTTTAAATTTTCCATCCCTTTCTGATCCCGGCGCCCGAACATCCATTAACGGCATGACCCAACATGCATAAGAATAAACATTTGACTTTCCCCTTCTCGAACTGAACCGGCCTCTGGTTAAATTGCTTTGGAAAAAAAATGAGGAAGCAGATTTGCAGAAGGAATGTGGGTTTGTGTGTTTCTCTGTGTGGGTTTCCTTATTTGGCCCCAAGTCAAGACACTGTTCCCTGCCTGGCTCTTTCCTTTCTCTCTATCCCTCTGGCAGAGCTTCCATTTCTGCATCGTATCCTCCAGACGGTCGAAATCGCACAAATGCACCAACGCTTGTAGAAGAGAAAGTTCGTCACTGAGGGTTGAACCGTCGGGGTCGTTCGGGCTCTCTCGGCTGGGTGGTTTCCTTGCAGACGTTTTACGACCCAACTAGGGAACAACATCAGTGCTAGAAGGGAGTGGGGTTTGCAGGGAGGAGGAGGAGGAGTTCTGTGGGGTCCTTGATGGTCTCTGAGCCTGGTGATTTCTAGCAGATATTTCATGACCCAACTCGGCAATGAAGGGAAACAATAATACGGATATAATAAATAATACTAGAATATGATATACTGGTGTAGTGGAATGGAAGGACTAAAAAACATTCCCAGGTCAGTCAGAGACAGCTTTATTGCGCAAGGTTCAGAGCCAGATTTGTACCTGAAGCTTTGAACAAAGAAAGAACTCTGATACAATGGTTTTTATACATTTCTAAGACAAAGGATTCAGTGAGATCATACATTTTCCATATATGGTTAATCATGAGATCATACATCCGATTTTCCTTCTATGGTTACATACACTGGATAATAAGTTCATCTAATTACTTAAAGCATTAATCTTAGTTTACAAAATTATCTTAGCCACACAACTTTTCTTAAGTGCTCAGAGTCGCTAATGGGAGAGTTACTACTAGCCTTGGGTAAATTCATTGGATTAAGTAACTCTTTGTAACATATAGGTCTTTGTGTCATTCACAGTGAGGTCACTCAGATGTTTTCCATATGGCGGTCCTTTCGTGACATCTAGGGCTCAGAAGATATATTACCACTTAATGGGGTTTAACTGTTTGTTAATGTAACAAGCACTTTCCTCTCTTATAATAATGTGAATAGAGAGGTTCTCTCAGAGTTCATATATCTGACTCTGTATGATTCCTATTTTATTCACATTGTTTCTTTTATCTACATTATTCTTTATTTGCTATTTACCTCACTGGTATACTAGATTCTGTAACCATTAGGTTCCTCTAATACATATATGCCTTTGTATTTGTATCTCCTGTAATGTATCTGGTATTTGTCCAACATATGTCCCTGCCATT